CTAGATGTTATTTCGTTGTTCACCGACGTTTTATTAGAATTAATGTTAATGAGTATTGACAGAAAAACTTTAAGTCTAACGAATACATGTTCAATTTCTATTGATGAAGTTTTTAAATGTATAAATTTTTCATTCAACAACACTTTTTTCGCTTTCGATAATAAATTTTACCAAGAAACTTTCGGCACTCTCATGGGATCTTCTATTCTCTCTTTTCGAAGACCTTGTAATGAATGACCTGGAAAGTGATTGTCATTCCATTTTAAAAAATGAGCATAATTTATTTTTGACCTGTTATTCTTGTTGTGGACGACGCATTACTATTAAAAAAAAAAATCAATTGATGATGTTTTAAATGTGTTCGATTAGTACTACCCTTAATTACAGTTTTCTTATAAAATTAACACTGACAATAAAATTAAAACCTACTTAAACGGACACAAAATAATAAAAAGGCAGTGAATCTTGATTTGATTTTTGTACGTATTTATTAACTCTCTACCAGCTGTCCTCTAAGGGGTCACTGGTTATAAACGTTTTCTAAATCTGATCGGAGTTATAATTTAGAATTATTATTTTATAATTCATTTAAGTTATTTTCTAAAAAAAAATTATTTTAGAAATTACAATAAAAATCACTAGACAGTGAATGCTTGGGTACCCAAGTATGAAATGATACTTTTATGATAATTGTATGGCAGACAATGGATGAATATAAATAAGCATTCTTTGAAACGATATTGTGTATAAAGGTAGTGCAATTATTGTTAAAATAAGTATGTACACGATAATTGGATACGTAATAACTTAAATTAGATAGGTATAGAGTATAGCCATGGTATGACGTGCTGCTAGGCTGGCTAGAATATAAGTACCTGCTGTAATAGGATAATTAAATTATTCGAAAACAACTGCTTTTTGATAACATCTTGAACATCACACTCGTATCTCTCACATACGATGACACACTTATTTTAACAACTAGTCAAATGTACGACATCCACCATAGTTTTTAAAAGAAAGCTTAGAAAATATAAGAAAATCAGTTTGTATAACATGCAATTATTTAGTTTTATATTTTGTAAGCTGGATAATTATGATTTTGTCAATAAAATTTATTACCAAAACAATGATATTGTAAGCTTACTTAATGACTGTAAATTAAAAAATAAAGATAAGTGAAAACGGTTTACGTTAACTCTGCACATCAATTAACCTCGTTACTAAATTTATTCCAATTACATTCCAGAAATTATACGATTGGCTTGGAATTGGGTAAGAAATATATATACCTTTGATTTTAATCTAAAAAGTTAACATCCTGTCATACCGCTTTATCTTAAATAATATTGTATAACATACCAGTAAAGGTATTATCCAAATTTCTCTTTCTTCACGAATGAAAAAATTTTTCAATAAAATGAAGCAATGGAAATGTTAAAATTTATCCATAAAACTTTCATAAATAAAAAAATAATTACAAAAAATAAAAGTTAAGAACATTTTAAAAATTCAATAAACATTTATTAATGTGTAGAATAGCTGTGACTAAGAAAAACATTTGTTAAATTGAAAAAAAATTATTTAACTAAATAAATGATTTTGTAACAAATATTATCAACGATTAAATGATTTTGTAACAAATATTTGTTATGAGCGGCCTTTTGGGGGGTAGGCGGCTTTGAACCGAGCGGGAGAGTTGAGGGTAGCTGGAGTCGCCTTCGAGGACATCGATCAGCGGTCGAGATTGAGTAGCAATAAGCACCCTGTGCTAGAAACTCTATGCGTGGAAAGGTGGTGCACATCGCTCCACGTCGAGCGCCAAATTTTTATATGCAGCCTATTGTGATGGGCGGCTTAGAACAACGAAAGAGAGTCAAGGTGGACAAGAATCCTCTCCCAGGGAGTCAAGTTGGCCGTAGAGATGAATCCACGGAGAGAACCCTGGATGGAGACTCTAGGCGTAGTGAGGCAGTGCTTCTATTGGATTCCGTTGTTACCGCTGGAGCTGGTTTTGCTGATGTGTAGTTTAACAGTCAGGATCGAGCTGTAGTAAGCACTCTATGTTTGTGACTGTAGATGTAAAGATGTAGTGCACTGTCGCTCGAATCCCTTTTCACCACTGGAGCTGTTGCCACTTGAGGGCGGTAGGGTAGAGACTAAAAGCAGTTAAGGAATGCCAGTTGTGAGTATATTGGACAGATTCTCACTGCAGCTGGACAGGCAAGAGTGGGTAAAATAAAAGTCAAAACACTAGGTTTAACGTGGTATTAAACATAGGTATTTTATACAAATTAATTGGTACTCTAGCCACTGCCATAGCGTAGGTCTCGTCAAGTGAGCGAGAACCTAGCTTTGGCCTAGATCGTGTGATCCGGAAGGATGCTTGTATGACGTCGCGCAGCCCTTCTTACATACTATAAGCTAACTTTTTACTTGCGATGTTTGGTAGAAGCTAGTAGTTGCCACCTAGCGGGCGGTAGGTGTTACTATTAGGTCCAAGGTTTTGAAATCGGAGCTGCACGCGACATTTGAAAATCTAATCTATGTTAAACGATTGAATTTAATGAGAAGTAGTTATGTTAATAAATAATTTATAATGAATAAAATAATACTTTTAACGGTAGCATATTATTAAAGATTAAATCAATTTAATTAACAAATAGTTCATAAATGTTTATAGTTGAAGAAAGGTATAGATCACAGTAGAACGAGAAGTAAGAGATTTTTGAATATCAGGATCGTTCGTGGCAGAGAAAGTAGGGTATCAAGCTCGCGTGCTGGAAATCACTGATTGAAGTCTTGAATAAACTGTTTATTTTTTACTAAAAAAAAAAAAAAAAAATTAGCTGAAGAATAAAGAAAAAAAATTAATAAACATTAAAGCTTATTTCTTAGAGATAAGTGCTTTGGTGGCGTGAGACGAGGTGGTTTGGAGTAGTGATCTTCTATGTGTGTAAATTCAATTCCATTGCACATTTTTTAATTTAAAAAATTTTAATTAAGTATAAATAATATTATAAAATAAGGATTTCAAAATAAACATTGAACTATTTTCTTGACAACGAATTTAAAGCAGGTGTCGAAAAACTTTTTTGGTAATGTATTTTAAAAGCTTTAACCAGTGGACAGTGGGTGCTTAGATACCCAAGTATACAGTTATACGTCTATAAAGTTATGTGGCAGATAATTTGTGGATATAAAAATACTTTCTACGAAGCGATATTGTGTATGAAGGCAATGCAATTATTGTTAAAGTCACATAAACTAACGCACTCATTCATGGTCCATATTGAGTACCTAAAATATATTTTTATCTAATAGGTTCAAAAAAAAATTCTGTAGTACCACTCTCTTTAATAGCGTAGTATTACATGATAGTGAATGTCCCATCCAGCCGTTTATCACATGTAGGTTTTTTCGACAAAAATTGTTTATACATCGGACGTAAATTTGAAATAGCATAAAGATACCCATAAAAAAGTCAGATAATTTAACTCTAACCTTTTAAATGGTAATTTTCCTACCTAGGACATTTTTTAGAGTCTGGTGCGCCCTCCTTCGGTAGAAAAAATAGAATCCGCCAAGTAAGCGTCATCGCATTGCAGCTACCTTACGTCCCTCAGGCCCTGTTTTACAGATTCCTGGTGCCGCAAAATAGCTCTGAAGACGATGGCACTTGTCTGGCAAATACAAACATTAATTTTTAAAAATCGTTATGTATCTTTGTGGAAGAATCCACGTAAGCTTGCTTTTATATAATATATAGAAATCTCCCTATTTCCTTGTATAAAAAATTACTTTTAGGTAAACCTGTTAAATATTCACATAAATTTATAGGTAATTTTTTGAACAAAATAAGCAAAAAAGGGGTCAAGTATGCGTGAAAGCGTTGAGTAAGTACATCTATGTGACAAAAATAATTGCCAGCATTTCTGCGTATTTGCAATCTTCTTTTACCTCTTCCAAATCTCATCCCACTTACTATGATGAACGCCCTTAATTAAATAAATTACCTTTGTCACGAATGAAAAAAATTATGAAAGGATAAAACGCATTACAAATTAATTCACGTATTCATAAAATACAAAAAAAATGTTTAAAAATTTTTTTTAATTCAGAAAAAAAAATTAAAAAATTTTTGAAACATTTATTCATCGTGAAATTAACAAATAATTATTGAAAAAAAGACACTTATAAGAGACACTTAACCCGATTAAATAAAAAATCAAAAGGATATTTAAATAAATCAATGGTGTGGGTGCTAAGTGGTGATGACTAAGCAACTTAATACAATCCAAAATTTTAACTAGATTCAAATGAATTTGTGGTTCATAGAACTTGAGCAAAAATCGTTTGAACTACACCTTAAAGCACGATGTATACGGATACAGAGAAAAAACATAATGGATTTGAGACTTCTAATACAGTAAATAATAATTCATGTAATACATTCACAGTTTATTCAATTAAGGTATATAACCATTTAATGAGTGATTATGTAACACTGTATCTATCATTAGAAATAGACCTTTAAGACTGATTTAATAACCAAAAGTATTTGCGATTCTTGTTATGCAATACTTTGCTGCTAGAATAAAGAACAAAAGAGTACTTGACTCAAATCATATAGAGTAAGCTGCAATCCAAATAAGATATCAATTACTTTCGGACGGATGTTAAATACTTTAAAAATTAATCCAAAATGAGTGCTTTAAGTTATGCATTTGAAATTCAGACTTTTATAAGTCTTTCTGTACCATATGTAATGTTATTATGTAATAATAAATTTTTACTTAAATGTTACTAGTGTTGTAGAATCCAAAGATTTTTTGTTTTTGGCGAGTAACTCGAATATAGCAGCTTAAAGTATGTAAAGATCGTGTAATGCAATAACTGGTACATTTTTGTAGAGCTATGTTATTTATAAACTTTAGACTTACAAGCCATCCTGACTTCATTTGTATTTTTGTTTTAATAGTAAATATTTGTTGTATTACCTGTTGAATTAAAATCTCCTTCTATCTGCTTAACTGGTTTTGAAATACTTTTTCTCTTAGACGGTGAGTTCTTCAATGCTAGAACATAAGTGAAAGTACACTGTGTAGATAACCTACTATATAATCACAACAAGTAACATATTTCTGACTATTATTTAAGGACATAGTTAAAGTAAAATTCTAATCTTGTTTTTCGACTAAAAATGTTGCTTTGCTTAATAAGTAAACAGTTTTATTCATCTCTTCTATTAGAAAAATCTTCTGAAAAGTAATTTTTATATTTATTCCAAATTTTATTACTTTGATTGTACTTAAAAAAAAAACTACTCAAAAAGTTTTTGTAATATTAGTAATTTCATAAATATTGCTTGATTTTTAAGGATGTCATAAACTCGAGAATAATGCTATACTGAACCCCTGACCATAGTAATTTCCTTAGAAATTTTATTAAAAATAATTTTTTTTTTTATTATTTGTAACATTAAGCTATTTTTTAAATTAAATATTATTTGAAAAAACAATCTTTTACTTTTAAAAAAACAACATTTACTTGACCTTCGGTCATATTTGTTTATTTATAATTATCGTCTTTTCAATCCTTTAGTTTTGTGATTAAAAATGAAATGTCTCGGAATATTCAAATGTTTGATATTCTTGACAAAATTGTCTACTTAACTGGATCAAAACGTGTCTTTGTGTTGTACAAGTACAACAGTTTAGTTATTGACCTATCATTGAGTGATCTGATAACACTTACGATGATACAGAAAAGTTATTTAGGAAGTACACAGTCTTAACTTTTCGTTGTATTTTAAAAATACAGGTAAATGTTAATTTTTTACTACTGATTACTGTATGTTCAACTATTTACGAAGGGATCGTTTATAGTAAGCAGTCAGAGCTGTCACTGGCCATCGCTGGCTCACAGGAGACACGAGGCAGCGGCTAACTGCAGCCAGCAGGGGCTCAGTCAATAGTTTATCCATAGGTCAGTTCTATAAAAAAATATACATAAAGCTGCGGCTAGCTACTGCTCGATGCCACAAGCTGCTGATTTATATGATTGGGTGATGCTTGCTGATGCTAGCTGCAGTCATCGGCAGCCAGTGACAGTTACGACTGCTCACTATAAATGATCCCTAAGTTACAATTATTTTTAAATTTGGAAATTTTTCCCAAGCTTTAAATTAGCGAGATATTTTTTTAGTTTTTCCAACGACATAAACATCATATCAGAATGAAAGTCTTATTACTTCTCAGCATATAAGCAAAAAATTTAAAAAAATTAATAAATACAAAACTAAATACACATACAAAATAAAAGGAAATTTAATGGGTAAATTTCATTATAAATAAAATAGTACTTTCATTTTATCCATTGTAATTCAACGACTGATCAACTTCCGTACACTAAAACAAACTCATTTAGACCGATATCCAACCTACTCCCCCATCTAATCTAAAATTGTATTGGCACCATGTAATATTTTTATTACCTCTTGCTTTAAATATTGTCAAAATTAAGTAATGGACATCAACAGTTTTCCAATTTATATACCACTCACTAAATCGTTTAATCTTGAATCGTATTTGTACCATGGAATAATTTCACCACCTTTCGTTTAAAAAATTTTCACTCAACGTCAAATTACTTTTGATAGATGAATGTTTATGGTCCAAGTTTAATATTTAAATTCAAAATAGAGTTATATGAATTGTTTCTTAAATTTTAGTTCATAAAATTATAATTTCTTCATTGTGTTCCTAGACTTTTCTTTAATTTCTATGCATGTTTGTTTCCATGAACATATTTTAGCCTAACGTGCCTCATATAGATGTAATTAAAAAAGTTACGTAAGATAGCATATAACTATATGTTCGTGCGCCCCGCTGGCCTAGGCTCAAAAGATGGGCGACTAGAGAAGAGAAGTGATAGAAGGAGAAGAGCAAAGTAATAGAGGGAGGGGGATTAGCCAGAGATTCGAAAGTAAAAGGACCAGGTCCGCGAGATTAGAATACACGCGCAACTTCCCTCAAATACAAAGAGTCCTTATTAAGTATAAGTTAACCACGAGTCGCGCTTTTATTTATTCCCGCACTGAGAAACCCAAGTAACAGCTGGTGTCAGAAATGGGATACGGACAAAATTTTCTACGGTCTGTCACCAGCACACCGAGTTTACACAAAATTTTATTACATATTCACACATGCAAGCGCCAGTCAATTTCTTTCTTACCTTCATCCTTTTTCTCCTTTTGTTTCAGTCGGTACATTTAATCACTCTCGCGCCAAATCTCATTATTTCTCTCTCCTTATGCTCTCATTAGCTAGACATTTCTCTATATCTCTATCATGCACCTACATCTCTATCTCTTTTGCTCTTATTAAGTATTCTCGAGTCATAAGTCTCTCCCCCTCTTTTAATTGCTTACATAATTCTCTCTCTCTCTCTCTTTCCTGGCTTTTCAGATAAGGTGTAAGGGATGGACGGGTCCTGACGACTGCACCGGGTGAAAGAATTACAAGAGAAGGGGGGTCTTGCGACTACTTTGGGTGGGCGCGTCGGGTTGGTTCCAAACTATCTATCTATACAGAGCGGTCTACAGGTGTCAACTGCGATCTCGAGTATCTGGCATAGTTGGGTATTATATTCGTCCTACACAGAATACACAAGTACACACTCTTTATTACAGGAAATTTATCTCAAAATTTGCAGTTCAACCTCTCTCGTTTATATTTTCGTTAATTCTTCTTCTTTTGGGTTTTTCTCTTCGGAGTTTCTCCCTTGAGCCACAAAATATATCTTCGTTCGTGGCTCATAATCAGTGCATTTTAAATTTTTTTCACCCATTTCATTCCCATCTTTCGTTCAGATAAATTCAGCAAAGTTGTTTTTTTTAGGTAGGTTTTCATTAGTTATTTGTCAATAGAGTCCCATAGGCAGGACGTAAGTGATAACGAAATTGATGCACCACCCCATACAGAGTTACACAGACCCCTCTTATTTGAAAAATTAGCTTTCCACGCTAAGCACGAAAATATTACGACTAACATGGATCTACCATTCACTGGTCAACCTAGCGACAAAGCGCAAGTTAAACATTACGCAAACCTAAACGATATCATAAGAGAAGCCGCTACACAGTCAGTACAACACTAAATGAATCGAACATCACCTACATTTACACAATCAAGTCGTCCACCGGTACGATATACTTGCGAAGAGGCTACACTGCGTCAAACACAAACGCGAATCCCAGTAGCTCAAGGCAAACAAGTAATAAGGAACGATAGCGTTACTCGTAATACAAGCGATGCAATGCAAGCCATGACGATAATAACTACAAACAAAACAAAACGGCACAACCTCATCCTGCAGAAGAGTTCGAGTTAGGTTGGGCAAATAAAATTTACTTGAACGCCCAAGACCATTTTACATTACCCCCACATTATACAGGAAATTTTAATTACGAATGCCCAATTCAGTCTATCGTTCAACACGTTATCGTCACTTAGTCACTTAGCAACAAACGTGCCAAAATTTAACGGCGATCCCGTTAAGTGACCTTCATTCAAACAAATGGTAAAATAGGTGTCATGGAGTATAGAGCCTTTGTACTAAAAATTTTTTGTAGGCTCAGTGGCAAATAAATTTAAAGACAAGACAGTTGAATTGATACCACACCGAGCACAGTTCTCTTCCATAGACGAATTTTTCGTAGAACTGAAAAATAGATAGAGCAGCGTCGGTAGCATCGATACATTATTGGCAAAATTAAACGTAATCAAACAATACAGAGGCAAGCTAGTAGAAGATTACAGCAGCCGTGTGCAGAAAACGTACGATAGAAAAACAGCCCTATACGACTCGGATACCACACTACTTCCTAGTCAATGACAGGCGTTGAAAGAGAGCATAGAGAGGAAGCAATAAAGCAATACACATACGGGATACAAGTGCCTTGTAACTACAGGGTAACATGCATTAACCCAAAAACATTGGACGAAGCCATTGTAGTCGCTTTGAAAATGGAAAACGATCTTAATCTACGTGATTGTGCGTAATTGGACATAATAATGCCAGCACGAATCAAGGTTTAAGTATGCCTAGCAAGAACAGAGGAGAGAGATACAAATGACCAGGTGCACAATTACGAGCGGGCAGAAGTACACGATACGACAGATAAAAATAAAATAATCGGAGATCACCAATTTTGCTCATATTGCTACGAATACGGGGAACATGTTACAAAATTATGTATAAAACTGGTAGCAGAAACAACAAATAAGAAAATTCTAAATCCAGATATAAAAGCAAGTAACGCACCAACGCAAGTAACACATAATGTGCAAAATATAAAGGATAAAAATTGCACGTACTGCAAACGCAGAAGGCACAATACAAGAGAATGAAGCATATTAGTAAGAGACGCATAGAATGGAAGATTAAATAGGACGATGGATACGAGCATTATAAAAACGATAACCGTAATCATACAGAAGGAAATATTGACAACCGGAATGATTACAATTACCCTCCTTACATCAATAATCCGAGCTAGAACAACGATTATAAAAGGAACCACCATAATAAAGCGGGTTACAACAGATATAGTAATACCTACCACAGACATACTAATTATCCAAGAAATAACAATAATGGATACAACAACTGAGATAGTAACTACAATAATTATAGGGAAAATTATAATTATATCAGAAATTATAATACGGGTGAAAATTATAACGGCAGAGGACCCCTGAATAAAATTAATAATGCACCTGATAAAAAAATATTTACTTATAGTACAGAGCATTTAAACTCGCAGGACGCTCGTCGTGCTCCCCAAGCGCCGAGCAGGCCCTGAGAATAGAAAGAGAGATAGATCGTAAGGATGAGACAGAGGAAGCCAAGGGAGAGAAGGAGCCAAAAGAATCTGATAAAATACACATTGGAGAAACAGACCCCGAGTAGGCTCCTCAAACGGCTGAAAATGTTCACGAAGAAAGAAGATTTAGAATAGAACTTATGACTAGAAGCACATTAGCTGACTAAAAAACCATCAATAAAAATATGA